GGTGGATTAATATAATGCTGAATAAGAATAACTTGTATATATAATTTTAGACATCGACTTGGTTTACGTGTACCATGTTCAATTTTTCTTAAACTTAGCAAAATTTCATCTAATAATTTCTTACTCGCTAAAATAAAAAAGAAAGTCAAATAATTATCTAAATAAACAGATTTTTCTTATTTATGCATACCTGTTCTTTCATAATCTTCGATTAAACCTTCAAGAATAATCACTGCACTTACATACAATTCAAGGGTGAATCGAAATTTCGCCAACCGGAATTTCGGCAATTGTCGAAAGTTTTTCGCAATTTCGATATTGCCGAAATTCCAGTAATCGAATTCAAGTCTTCTCGCTTCAGTAATTGCACTTTCGATTATTTCTTTGGCGCGACTAAAGTTTGCTGTTGGTAACGATGACATTTCGCGAAAACAAAATGAAGAACAATGAATCTAAAACACAAGACTACATGTTTTATAATTTCTGAAACAAAAAGGAGCTTGGCGGATTGTGGCGTTTGGAAAAGTTTTGGAAAAAAATTTGGACCTTAGAGGACCTCCGGCGAAACTTTTTCGATGCTAACTTTTTGTTTAGAAATATGTTGTCACATAGTTCTATGTAGTTTTTTTGCGCTGATTTCGACAAACCAAGAGATTTAGAATAAAAAAATTGTACGCCGTTGAATAGAGCATAGCTTAGAGTATATTTACCCTTGTTCAAGTCAGAAAAAAGCGTCCTTTCGATTTTTGGCGAAATGTCCTGATCGTTGACCACTATTGTCGAAAAAACAGCAGTGTCATCGGTTGTCTTCTGAACAACTTGAGAACGAAAAGAACTTTGAGAGTTCGGGTTTTCAGCATTCACAAGAGGAAGCTTTTCTGCATCAGGAATATACTATTTCTGCGTAGGTTTCCTGGAAGATCTTTAAAAAGCTAATTTGGTATTAAAACAATCACAACTCGCTCGGAAAACATCAAAAAAGTTGAAACTTCAGGATTTACCGTATTTAAGCTATTCTATTCTCTGTTTTAAGAAATCTACAAAAACCATTACAAAGCGGTGATTTTACGAGGGATTTACGAGAAAACTTTTGAACTGAACCATGTTTTTTCACCTTGTTCGATCATATAATCATGTGTAACGGACAAAATAAATATATTCTGAAGTCTTCAACTCCTTCTGGTGTTTTTCGAGTGAGTTATGAATTTGTTATTATTAAGTGGAAATCCGGCTCCAAGAAAATTCGATACCCGAACTCCTCAGTTCTTTTCGTTCTCAAGAAAGAATCAGGCTTAAATAAGTACATCCAGTAATGCTTTGTCTGGATACCTAGGTAAAGCATTACCAAATGTACTTGTAAATGCCTCAACCAAGCGTTAAAATGCGACTATAACGTTTGCATTTTACAAATTATAGATCCTTTCATGCGCAGAGATATATAGAAAATAATTTCAACTGATAACCTTGTGTAGGATGGTCGTAAACTTTCTCCATAAGTACAGGATAAGTTCTGTTTTCTTCACCTTTTTTTATCGTATCTAAGAGCGACTTATCCAAACAGATAAATTTTTCAATACGAGTAGACCTCAAGTGGAAATACTATGTCAAACGTAACCTCATTTGATGCATAGTTGAAGATACAGAGCTTGTAACAATAGAGAACTAGCAAATAATGGGATATCTCTTTTCGCACATGCATATCTTTCTTTTTTATCGACTCGGTGAAGCCGAAAAAATGTCCGTACATGGGATATCTTATGTGAAAAAAGGTATCTCCTTATTTGCTAGTTCTCTAATGAAAAACGCCCGTTCGGACAATTCCTTTTAGTTAGAAGATTTCTGAGCTGCTTTGCTGCACATACAAAGATTGATTGTGAGAGAAATATAGTCTACTCAAGATGTCGCATTTGGATAGATTGAAAGAAATCACTGTTCTGCATTTATCTGTTCAAACGATTTTAATTCTTTCGTCATCCATAAACCCTTGAAAAATTGAAAAAGTTCAAAAATCACTATACATTTTTTTGAATTCGTAAGAAAACATTATTAATAGTCTCATTTGAAGTGGGCATTTGGCTGTATATAGAAGCGCGTGCAACTGAAATTATAATTTTCCAGTTATGGCTTTGTCAAAGGGAGAAAGGTGCTTATTAAAACCAGAATCCAAATGATAAACAACATTTGCTTTTTGATAAAATGGACCAAAGTATTGAAATCAATATTTAGTCTTTCCTAACCAGCGATTGTTAAATTTAAGGATGAACAATAAGAAATGAGCAAACGAACCTTAAATATTTTTACATAGATCGATAGCCCTGAGTCAGGACCCCTGACTCTCCTCTACTCGGCAAACTGAAAATGTGTTTTCCACCTTTAGAAATGGCTTCAAAAATTAGAAAAGAGTCAACTTGAAATTTTTCGTGTTCTAAGTGCGGTCAACGACTCTACTGCATATAACAAAATGAGAAAGAAAAAGAAAAAACAGTGGCAATTTCTCTCATTTAGTCGAAAAAGATAGAACAGTATTGTTTCTTCTCCGTTTCATACATAATAGATGTAGATATATCATTTTATTTGTCTGACTGACTGAGTAAAATTTAAACGCAAACCACCTTTGATTATCATGACCCGAAGAGAAAGCCGGAAAGTCATGGCAGTCAAAAAAGAGTTTTTCTAGTTGCGGAATATAAGAGAAGAAAGTATGATTTGTCAAACGTTAATCGCCAATATTGAGAGCTACATTTCTCAAAAATTAAAAAGGGTCTTTTCTCGAAAATACATCAGTATATAGTAGAACTTGTGCATTTCAAACTAATATAACAAGTGAAAATGGACCCTCTCTAGTTAATTTAATTTTAATTCGCAAAGTTGGCAGAATATCGGACGAGCACTGCTTCTTTGGACATCGAATAAATGAATATTTACATCAGACTTCCCAGATGGTCCGCAATTTGTTCGCATTTTGAGAATTGTCTGCTTTTGCTGTTTTTCTCCTGTTTACAAATAACATTTAAAAAAAGAATGTCTATCTATTGAGGATTCTCTTTCTCATCCTATTGTCAAACCAACACCATCTCCAAACATGCACAAATTAGTTTCGTTTATATTTTCGATCCCGTGCAGTAATTCATACGTCGAAAATGCATTTTCTTCCATGAAACATTTATTTAACGATAAAAGAAATCGTATGTCAACAGAGATGATTGCAGCTGGGTTAAAAATTCGCTTAAACTCATCGTTATCATGCACTGAAGTTTATAATTATTTCTTATCAACGCCAGATCTGCTTAAACTTATTCATTCTAATCAAAAGTATTCAGTCAAAAAACAACGTGTCAACTAAAATCGGGACTTACATTTCTGTTTGTTTTTCTCTTGTGTTTTATTGAATAAAACCACAAAGTGCTAGAGAAAATATTTTTTTGACTCTGTGCCGGTAGAGTTGCCAGCTCAGGCGCCACAATCAATGCCAATATGCCGGAAAACCGCGTCGATTATGGCACTCCAGCTGGCAACTCTGTGATTATGCGTGAAAACGAATGAAGTTAGACCATGAAAATGTGTTTCCGCTTTTTGTCCGCATTCTGAGAAAAATTTTCCGCAAGTTTCCGCATTTTGGGATTTTTATTCCGCATTTCTGACCTGAGGATCTGGGAACTCTGATCTAGATTAAAATAGAAAATTTGTTCGTTTCTATAAAGAGAAATAAAGCGCTGTGCACATATATATACACATAAGGAAAAAGTATGAGACGAACGAAAAATATGATCAAAGGAAAGAAAAGTGAACGCAGTGTATTTGATGTCTACAGCTTTTAGTGAAAATTCATCTTTGAAAATGCCAGAAGTGTTCTCATCTTTTCGCCTCTGTTCATGTAACTGATGCTCAGCGACTCTTAGGGAAGTATATTTAGATGGAATCTTTACCGAACAAACAGACGCATTTAAAAGGTGAGAACAATTTTTTGAGTGACTGTCATTGAGATGAAGTAATAAACTTCAGCAATAAGTTTCATAGAGTACTGCTACCTGTCAACACGAATCATTTAAACATTTACGTTAAAATGGATGAAGAATCAAAACAAAAGTTGCATTTTCTTCTTAGTTTTTACATCCATTCTGCTTATCAACGTTTATTATTAAACTTTTCAAAGAAAAACAATATCAGAACGGGGTACTTTGGTTTTATCATTTAAAGTAATAAAGTGAGAACGACAAAAGAAATGTCTTATTTAGTCTCATATTTTCGTTTTACTCCATTGTGCGAAATTGTTGAATGAATAAAGAAGAAGAAAAGCCGAAAACAATACAAAATAAAGTGTGAAGGATTTTTATAAACAAAATTAAACGGTAACTAAATCAGCAAGTAACATTCATCTTTGAATCATTCGGTTCCCTGACTATAAGCCTATTCCACGTCACATCGGCAGTCAGAAGCTATGATCTTCAAGGTCGATGTCTTTATCTCTTGAGTGAACTGTAACTGTCTTCAAAACTATATAAATTGAGAGGCACCCCACGAGCACTTTTACACCTAAAGACGGATTCTTCCTATATGAGCAGCCGCTTCTTGCCCAAATAATAAGTGATTTCTTGTTCCTGTTATACAAGAGAAGCGCTGAGATTAGATCATGCATACTAAGAAAGATAAACGATCACACAAAACATTTTATTTTTCAATACATATGACTTTTTATGGTAAGTTTATATTGAGTTAGTGGAAGCTTTACGAAAGCTAGGTATTTAAGGCTATTTTTGGGTGGAGAGGAAGCATCCCTTAAGTCTCGTTATCTCACTGAAACTTTTCAGGCAGTGAGTATATCAAATTAAAATATGAAAACGATTTCTGCTTAAAAGACAGATTAATAATAACTAGAGTTGATCCACGCAGCAAGTGGAAACAGCCTTATAATCCCGCTAATTAGCCCAAAGGTGTTATTATAATGAGAAAAAGCTAATTAAAAGTTCTTTCGCATTATAGCGCAAAGAGATAGACTTGGAATTCAAACTGGACTAAACCTAAATCGGCCTAGTACACATTTTATTTTATATGACCGTTAACTTACAGTCAAGTGAATATTGTTGAGACTACGGTAATGTTTTTTAGGTTCAGCTATGAGTAGTTATCAGCGATTCACTGACATTGAAATAAGTAATAAAAGACTGCCTGCTTGTTATGGTTATCTCAGTTCAAAATTGGTTCCAATAGAAACAGCTGTTGAGTCGATAGGAGACCGAGTACCGGATTTGGTTCGTTTTGCTAAACTGGCCAAAAAACATTGTACGTATCCGAATGAACATGGCCTAACGCAAGATGAATCAGCAGCTCTGTACCTCTATACGATGGAAATGAGTGATGAACAAAGTTTTTATCACATTCTAAATCAAACTCTGCGAGACGAAAATCGATCGGCATTGAGACCGTGGTTCCCGTATTTGAAACTACTTGATACAGCTGTTAACAAACTACCGTCGACCAAGACAACTGCATGGCGAGGGATTGGAATAAACGTTAGTAGTTCATTTCAAAAGCATCAGACAGTTACGTGGTGGAGTGTTAGTTCGTGTTCAGAATCGGTGAATACAGTAAAAGGATTTCTTGGTAATAGCACTCAAAGTACTCTGTTTAATATTGAATGTATCAATGGGAAGAAGGTTTCATCATATACGTGTTATCCTGAAGAAAATGAGATTTTGCTCATGCCCGGTACGACATTGAAAGTTGTAAGTGATCCTTTAGATCATCATGGTGGTTTACATATTGTTCATCTGAAGGAGATTGGAGATGATAATGATAATTTCCCAACAAGTGCTATAACCGATAAAATCAGTGGAAAGGAAATATCGAGTAACAGTAAGTAACTGGTTTTATGTTGGTTACTTGTGTATGAGCATAATATTTCTGCCTTTTTGGCTATTCTTTATACAAAATGCTACAAATATATGCATGAATATCACACTTCTTACCCGAGATGAACTATAGATTGCATGAAACGAGCATAAACTAACTATAACTAAAATTATCTCTATATACATGTATAGATACAGATATATAGGTATATATGGGAGTGGCAAATTTAGTGAATACCCCATAGTGTGCACTCTAATGCGACTTCAGCGATGTGTTTGCCGAGAAAAAGTATCTTGTATGACTAGATTGCGACTTCAAAATAGTAGGTATCTTCTATATGTCTTCAGGCATATAATGTCATTTTAATGTCTTCTTCAGAAGACACATCAAGGCGACCTCAAAAGAGTCGCTAGAATACGACTAAATGCGATCTGACTTACGTGTCTTTAATGCGACTAGAGCAAAGACGCTATAAAGTGACTATCAGGTAAAGTCGCATCATGTGCCTTCAAAAGACTCCCTAAAATGCGGCTTTTTAGGATCCGACTTATGTGTCTTCTTAGAAGTCGCATTCTTTTTAGAGTGTGGGGACTGACGGGTTGTTGTACGATTAAAAAATGTAATCATTAGCGGATGCATATATGTTAGGTAAAATGAAATTCATTGCGTGAATCTATTAAATTAAATAAAGTTTTTAATTAGAAAAGTTTTGACCTTTTTGGTTTTTTCTGGAAAGCAGTAGTTTTCAATCAGATGTATTAACTGCAGCTATTTCCGACTTCATCTTTTTATTTTAATTATAATTTCTGTGGAATTTTCGACCGTAACGGTCATTACCAATACAACAATCTAGAGAATTACAATGAAGAAGTAAAAAATTAACTTATTTTATTCTTCATTTCCATTTTCATGACTCACTAACTCTGTACCTGATGGGAAAGAATTATCCATTCAATTTTGTTTCCATTCCCCCACCCTTTAATGTACACTTAAGGTCTTATTACATTAAAAACTTGACCTTATTCTCCAAAGGGTTCCTATTTAGTAGATTATTTTGGTGGTATTAATCTCCCATCCTCGACCATTCTTGTTACAACTCTCTTTTCCAATCCATCTGGGAAAACATATAGAAGGACTGATCTATCGGTACCATTGAGCGTTAGTGTATTAGCTCTAATTAATAATGATTCTTTTACTAGTAGACGATATCTATGTTGTTCGGACAGTAAAATCCTAAAATCATTCCTTGTTATCATATGTCCTGTATTTTGAAAGTGCTTAGCTATGGCTAATGTTGCTACTGGAGACTTTGGTTCTTGATTCTTTCTCGTATTCTCCATTAAAAAACGCTCATATTCTTTATCTTCAACTTTTTTAATAGAAGGAGGCAGTTTATTGGTTTGAGATCTTGTGACAGGTTCTATCCAACGAGGAAGGCGATGAGCTGGCTGAATTTGTATCAATATTGTTTGTTTAATTGATTTGTTTTTGTTTTTAACTTGAGCACCAGTGATCTTTTCTTGATAATCCAGATGTTCACCTACTCTAGTGACGAAGTGTCGGCAAGTCTTTCCTATGTAAGACTCCCAACATTGAAGACAAGTCGTTTCATATACTAGATCTGATTTCAAATCATCTGGTATTCTATCCTTTATACTTAAACCATCACCAATTCTCTTCGTCACATCGTAAATAATACGAACATCTTTTTGTGGATAAACTTCCTTAAGTGCTGCTGTTATCCTCTTAGCATAAACTTGACTACATTGGTCAAAATATGGTATACGAAATATTATGTTGTCTTTAATTGAAGCATCGTTTTTTTTGTTTAATCGAGTGGTGTACCCAGATGCAAATGTACACCCGCTAAATCGCACGGGTAACCGCGTGTGTTTTTATTTTATACGCTGGTCACGCCGGTTCATGCGAATAACAGATCGGTTCTCGCCGGTTGAGCATCGAAAAATGGCCGGTTTCAATCGGTTCTTTATTAAAAAACAGCAGTTATCGGCGGATTACCATTTTTTATCCTTTTTTGTAAGCGGTTCTCAGTGGTCATGACTGCGGTTGACGGGGGTTGTCCAAAATGAATATGCAGATATCTGCGGTTGCTTTTAAAATATCTGCGGTTCAGTGCGGCTTAAATTTAAAATGCATTTTTATGTCAAATCCGCGGTTGACGGCGGTTGTCAGAAAAAGTGCCAATTGAATAGTCAAACTACGGCGGTTCAACGCGGTTTGGATTTAAAGGAGATATAATGACACAAGAAAGACCTGCGGTTGTTGGCGGTTCTGACCCCGGAGCAATGCGGTTGAGTAGGAAATGAAATGAACTTCATAGCGGGTGGGAGTTAAAAACAGTGGTTGCGGGCGGTTCTCAATTTCCAGATACGAATGTACACCCGCTAAACCTCACGTGAAACCGCGTGTGTTTTTGTTTTATACATGAGGCAAGTCGGTTCCTGCGAATAACAAACCGGGTGAGCACCGGAAAATCGCCGGTTTCAGTCGGTTCTTAATTAAAAAATCGCGGTTGTCGGAGGATCACGATTTTTTATCCTTTTTTAATAAAACTAACACAAGCAGTTCACAGAGGTCATGACTGCGGTTGATTAGCATCAGTCCACATATCACCAACTCACTTTTATACGGATCCTCGACCACATGTTTGAAATATATGATTTTTATAGAAGTTATAGTATACGTATAATGACCATGATTCCCTTTTATCCGTCATTTATATCTTATCAGAACCCAAAGTTATAAGGGTTTTCCTCAAAACCGTTTGGTCAAAAGTGCCCTTTATCAAATGCGCTCGAGTAAGATGCCGGAAATTCGANTTAGCATCAGTCCACATATCACCAACTCACTTTTATACGGATCCTCGACCACATGTTTGAAATATATGATTTTTATAGAAGTTATAGTATACGTATAATGACCATGATTCCCTTTTATCCGTCATTTATATCTTATCAGAACCCAAAGTTATAAGGGTTTTCCTCAAAACCGTTTGGTCAAAAGTGCCCTTTATCAAATGCGCTCGAGTAAGATGCCGGAAATTCGAACTTTCAGTAAAACGTTTTTTCCGTCCTTTTATACATGGCCGGATAGAGCACATTCGGCAAAGTGAAAAAGACTGTTTTTTAGACGGGGTCCATCTGAATGTATACGAACTATTTGGTAAACCTATCTTGTCTGTAGAAATATAGTCAGATACTTTCTGTCATTCGACTCATCATACCACCGGTCACAAAAGGATACATCCGTTTTTTTCTTCTCTTTGTTGAGAAAAATAACATTTATTGGTAGGAAAAAGAAGAAGGTAATTTTTAAATAAAATTACTAATTTTTTAGTAAAACTAAGTTTTCTCAAATGGGTAAAAATGATGACAAATCGAATCAACATACTTTGAAGATTTTCAAGCATTTTCTAGAACGTCTCTAGAAATAATTTTCTTAAAATCAAAGTTTTCAGGTTTTGATGGGTATTTTATGACTCGGAAGTACTACCGGATTAGTTTTTTGCTTTTAACTATTTAACATGCTGAACTAAATCATATGAATAAAAACATAGATAAATAACAACTACGAAACTAAATTTTCACAGGAAAAGTATTGTTCATCGATCATTATCAATATTTATATTCGTTACGACAAGAAGGGGCAGAAAACGACACATATTAATCGAACACGCCATAAAACTAATCAACTACTTAGTACCTCGCAATTCATAAAATACCGGTCAAAACTTGAAAATTTTGGTTTTTAAGAAAAAGATTTTCAGCGATCCTCTGGATTCTTTCTTATGTCATAATGACATCATTTTCCCATTCATCGTATCATTCTGTTTTCTGAAACTTAATGTGACTAGAAATGTGCTGGATAGTAAGAACATATAAGCGAGAAGGAACTTTCAGTCTTTCGATAATTTACTATCGTTAAAAGTTAGTGAAATGCCTATGGAGACTAACACAATAACTCTGAATAGAATTATACGAGCACCCACAGTTTTAGAAGGGTGCCGCCGCCTCTAATGTCATCCATGTATAAAGAACGGGTGAAATGAGAATAACAATAGTGCTTAACCGGAACGAAAGACACCCCTTAATAGTTTTCTGTTTCTCATTTAGTATCGAACAAAGATAACGAAAATTCAACTGCTAAAGCAGAAAATGAAACGAAAACGAAAGCTTCAAAAGCAAACATAAAATTAACGGTACGTATGTATGTTGCGTTGATTTGAACCAACTAAACTATGACAGATTATAACCTAAAATAGCAGTTGACTTAGTGAGATATTTTTCCACAAAAGTGCTCATAGCACGGAACGTTCCAGTGTAATTGGGGTTTAAGAGGAAGATCTTCTCTTCTAAAACATTTCCATATACTTTCCCAGTTTGCAGAGGACATCACGTTGCACATATTCTGAACCTTTAGACTTTTGAAACAGATTCCAGCGGAGTTATGGACTGTTTAAGTTAGGTTCCAAAAATATCGAAAAGTCAAAACCAATCTCAGATTTTAGCATAGAATAGCTTAAACCCCCCCCCCCCATAATAGAAGTCTCCGGGGCTTCTAAACTATCCAAGCATTCAAAATTTTTAGGGGGGGCTTGTATTATGAAGGGGCTACTATTACGACTTTCGTACAAAAATTTTCAGAAAAAAAGGAGATTTTGAATTTCGATGCTCTTGCCTTTCTAATCACGGTAATCTCAATTAATCTGAAAAAAATCTTTTTCGAGATAAAA